TAAAAGCTACATGCACTTGTCGTCCTTAATTTTGTAGTTTGTAAAAGCTACATGCACTTGTCGTCCCTAATTTTGTAGTTTGTAAAAGCTACATGCACTTGTCGTCCCTAATTTTGAGCTGATAGCCAAGCAGGAAGAAGCTCTTGGGCTATTTTAATCGAATTGTTGGATTTGGCCGCTTTTACTCTTATAGCGGCCCGGCATGGCCAGGTGGTTAGGGCACTCGACTCGCAATCTGCGGGTCGCGGGTTCGAATCCCCGTCACACCGAAACATGCTCACCCGGTGTCCGGGCTAGGACGCTAGTCCTACTCCCGGATACTCACCTCCAAAAGAATTTGGAGGTGTGAGAAACACCATAGGAAGCTACTACTCTTATAGCGAATTCACGGTCCCAAAGTGCGGAGCGCGTTTAGGGGGCAACGAGACGCAAGTATTCAATGTGCGTTAAAAAAGTGTCCACTGTTTTGTAGTGTGTCACACCTAGGAATGCCAAGACAAACCTTTGCTTATTTCTTTAGTTTCTAAAATATATCAATTTCAGTGCCATCTGACTATTACTTGATTGCTTTGTTTCTCATTGTAACCAGTCCCATGTGTTAATTTCCAAAATCCCTAGGGTTATGCATATTTATTAAAAAAATCGCTGGTAAGAAAGAGCCGAATGTGACTTCATGACCCGGGGTTGGAGGTCGTGATGCTTTTCCTATAACGATAACGGTTAATTCCTTTATTCGATTCAAACAGTAGGGGGAAAACATTATGGTGATATGGTGGCCAGCGAAACATCATGGTAGTGTGATGGTGGGTACAGGTGTTGGCTAGCAGCGGTAGTTCAAATTAAGGACTGCTATGTCTGAATTCTAGAGGACTCTGATCTGGCTATTTAGCCCAAGTGAACTTAAGATGCCTCTGAGGTTGAAAAAGTCCAAGTATAGTTTTTAAAAGTCGTTAAGATTACCATACTTCGTAATAGTTATTTTTCCAGGCGTTCAGGAGGGATTCGGGGCTCACTAGTATCGTTCCTAATGTCACTGAACTTTAACACCGATAATTCGTGGTTCATATACAAAATGTTTTCATTTTCCAGGCACAGCCCTGATGCAGCTCGTGGATGTGCAGAAAGAAATGCAAAACCAGCAGTTAAACATTGTAAGTTACCAGATCAGTAATGTTGAACTGGCAATTAAGGTGAGACCATAAATAGTGAGCTTAACTTAGAAGAATAAACAAGTTGTCAGTTGAACTTTATCAACAATAAGCACATTGTAAGTTGAACTTAGAACAATAAACATGTTATTAGTTGAACTTAGAACAACAAACACGTTGTTATTTACACCTAGCACAACAAAGTAGTTGACACTTTGTTTGGTTTCGATGTATAGTCCTTTATTCACTTGACCATAAATCAAAACCAAACAAACTCCATATTTTCCATCGTTATATTAGGCCTACTATATTTACTTTGCTCTTTCAAGCAGCACTAAAGAGCTGTGAGTTCAGCGGAAACCAAAGGATAAATTAGGCTTCTATGTCATCTTTTCTATATTGAAATTTACGTTTTGATAAGGAAAATAAATTTACAAATAAATACAAACAAGTTTTCAGTTGAAACTAGAACAACAAACACTGTTATAAGATTAACAGTGGCCTGCATTTTAACAATCTTTCTAAAGCCACGAAATGCATCTACTTAACACACAGGTTAGACTCATGATATTTTCCAGCTTTTGTGGCTTGAAACTTTGACTTAAGATACAAAACTCTTTCAAATATCTAAATTCTGAGGATTGGAGATAAAACCGAAAAGTTTAATTGCTCATCACATGGCGAGAAAAAGTTTTAGCTTTAATTTAAATATGAAATACAATTCTGTTCTGAGAACGCAGGTTTACCTTAAATTTAAAAACTCTAGTCAGACATTATACACTTTAATGATTTTAGAAAAGCGATGTAAGTGGCCTGTCTTGAATATCATTTTTAATATATATATATATTTCTTATTAGTTAAAAGCTTCTATGTTGACTTGCTGGTTCCCCTGGAAACGAATTTAGAAAAGGACACAAAAGTGGTTTTGGTAAGTTTAATCAGTTCAGTTCACATGGCAACCAGATAACTATCAACTTAAATACCGGATTTGTCCGTGCAGTATTTTTTGAAGAAGCTTATAGTTTAATTTTAAATGAAAACAAAATGCTGATCACAAAATGTTTCTTACGTTTATCCCCATTTAACATTTCAAACAATATTTTATTTTGTTTAAATATTTCATCAAATCCCATTGAACAGACTATTTAATATTTTATTCTGTTCAAGTTTCCAGCACTATACATTGAATAAACTACATTATATTTTATTTTGTTTTGAATATTTAGCCATTTACATTGAAAACTATGTACTGTTTAAAGTAATTTAGCACTTTAAAAATTTACGTTTTTGTATATGGATTTGAAATAACATTTTCTGTTTCAGAGTGAACAAAAAAAGTTTCAACACTCGTATAAAAATCATCATGAGGCCTACCTTAAGGCTGCTGCTTCTGTAAAAAAACACAAAAAGAAAAATCGTAGTAGCAGAGGCTCCAACCTAGACAAAGAAATAAAGGTAAACACTCCAGCGATTTTAGCCTAAATCTTCATTTAAATCTTTTAGTTGAAAGTTTAAGTCTATGAACCTTTGGTTTGTTTTGAATTTTGCGCAAAGCTACTCGCGAGCCATCTGCATTAACCGACCATAATTTAGCAGTGATAGCCTAGAGGGAAGGCAGCTAGTAAACACCACCAAACGCCAACTCTTCGGCTACTCTTTTACCAACGAATAGTGGGATCGACCGTCACTTTATAATGCTCCTACGTCTGAAAGGGCAAGCATATTCGGTGACAGGGATTCGAACCTGTGACCCTCAGATTGCGAGTCGACCATCTTAACCACCAAGCCATACCAGGCCTCTAAGAAACGTTTAGACGAAGAAGTGAAGGTGAACATCCTAGTGATTGTAGAATAAATCTGTGTCTAATTCTTTTAGTTGAAAGATTAAACTCAAATGTAAACATGACAGTAAAAAAACCAAACAGAACAGTAGGTTTGTTTGTTTTAAGTACCAAAATGCACAATGAGATAGCTGTATCCCCCCTTCCCCCAATTTTAGCATTATAAGCCCTAAACCTTACTGAGACATCAGGAAGAACCTAGAACGGACAGTTTTGTGATTATATATATATACATAAGTCTGTTATCAATCAAATTAGAAATTTATTAGTATTCTAGACCCTTTCTAGTATTTTTTTTCTGTAAATAATTTTTTTCTGGAAAAAATGTTTCCTTAGCTCTGGAGTGAACAGCTAAAGTGATAAACTGTTTGAAAGAGAGGACATATAAATACATAAATAAACCTGAACTGAAATTACTCCCTTTTCTTCAAACTTTTTAGCTAAAGAGAAAGTTTACTTAGAGCAGAATGAATTAAATTTGGCTGTTTAATTTTAGCATATACATGCTTTGGAAGAGGAAAAACTGCAGTTGGAAGGATTTTGTGACACAAGTCTAAAACAGGTAACGATGGATATTATTTACTATTGTAACTTTAGTTTCTTAATAATTATGAAAACCTTTTCATTCAGCATCTTTGTAGCTGTTATGAGGATGAAAACAAAATTCTGCTAGCTTTTGAAATTCTTCTTATATATATATGTATTTACTTTTAACTCCAGTTAATTAGTAAACAGAAAACTTAACTTTTTATTTCCTCTTCTGACTCTAGTTGGTAAACAGAAAACTATTTCTTTTACTCAGTCCTTTCTAGCTAGTAAGTAAACAGAAAATTATGTTTACTTTATTCATTCCTCCTCTAACTGTAGGAAGCAACCTCTACTAAGTAAACAGAAAATTGTTAACTCATTCCTCTTCTAAGCCTATCCGGTTAGAAAACAGAGAACCCCGCTTATTTTACTCATTACTTTTCTAAGCCTATCCGGTTAGAAAACAGAGAACCTTGATAATTTTGGATAGGCTTAGAAGAGTAATGAGTAAAATAAGCAGGGTTCTCTGTTTTCTAACCGGATAGGCTTAGAAGAGTAATGAGTGGTTAGAAAACGGAGAACCCTGCCTATTTTACTCATTACTCTTCTAACTCTATTTACTAAATAGCAAACTTTATTTATTTATTTTCTTATCTGATTAGTTTGTAAAGAGTAAAACCTACTTATTTGTCCTTCTTTCAGTTTTAGTTTTCTTCTTATAATTAGTAAGGTACTAAATCATGCATTCTTATTATCATATGTAAGTACACAAAAAAACTAATAGACATTATCAATAGATAGAAAAGTACTTAAGAAATATATGAAAGACCAAATGATATAAAGAATAAAATATCTGTTATTTAATGAGTACCAGATCTTTACTGTGTGATAACTATTATTTAATGAGTACCAGATCTTTACTATATATTGATTAAGAAACTAATGTTTTAATTAGTGTCAGAATCTGGAAATTTATTAACTGAATTTTAGATTTTCTGTTTTTTTTTTAATTCAACCCATGTAGTTTATTAAATGTTTATCCTAATAATAAATCCTTTTTTTGATTTATTCTAGGCTATAACACAGGAAAGGCGACGTTATGGTTTCGTGCTTGAACGGCAATGTTCCTTGATGAAACATTACCTGGCATTTCACCAGAAGGTAAAAATGGGATGTAGTTTTTAGGAAAGGACATAAGTGTACAGAAATAAAGTATAATATAGATTGTATCTGTAGTAGTAAATAGGTATTATGTCTTAGGTAGCTGCATTAAATTACATTGTGAGAAAAATACTATGTACTTCTGGGAAAGATACTGTACAACAGCATTACATAGAGTATGATATCCTGACACAGTTACTCAGGCTTCATATAACCCAAACCAGCTTTCTTCAAGGCTTCACACAACCTACACCTGTTCTGATATCCTGACACAGTTACTCAGACTTCACGTAACCTACATCTGTTATATAGAGTGTATGATATCCTGACACAGTTACTCAGACTTCACATAACCTACACCTGTTCAATAGAGACTATGATATCCTGACACAGTTACTCAGACTTCACATAACCTACACCTGTTATATAGAGAGTATGATATCCTGACACAGTTCTTCAGACTTCACATAACCTACACCTGTTCAATAGAGACTATGATATCCTGACACAGTTACTCGGACTTCACATAACCTACACCTGTTATATAGAGAGTATGATATCCTGACACAGTTCTTCAGGCTTCACATAATCTACACCTGTTTTACAGAGAGTGTGAAATCCTGACACGGCTACTCAAAATTCACATAACCTAAACTAGTTTTACAGAGAGTATGCTATCCTGACGCAGTTCTACAGACTTCATGTAACCTACACCTGTTCTATAGAGAGCATGATATCCTGACACAGTTACTCAAACTTCACATAACCTAAACCAGCTTTGCAGAGAGAGTGAAATCCTGACACGACTACTCAAAATTCACATAACCTAAACTTGTTTTACAGAGAGTATGCTATCCTGACACAGTTCTTAAAGGCTTCAAACAACCTACACCTGTTCTATAGGGTGTATGATATCCTGACACAGCTACTCAGACTTTACATAATCTAAACCAGCTTTGCAGAGTGTATGATATCCTGACACAGTTCTTCAAGGCTTCACATAACCTAAACCAGCTTTGCAGAGTGTATGATATCCTGACACAGTTCTTCAAGGCTTCACATAACCTACACCTGTTCTATATAGAGTACAATATCCTTACACAGTTATTCAGACTTCATATAACCTACAACTGTTTTATAGAAAGTATGCTATCCTGACACAGTTACGCAGACTTCATGCAACCTAAACCAGCTTTACAGAATATATGCTATCCTGACACAGTTTTTCAGACTTCATGCAACCTACACCTGTTTTACAGAGAGTATGGTATCCTGACACAGTTCTTCAGACTTCACATAATCTATACCTGTTTTACAGAGAAAGTGTGAAATCCTGACACAGCTACTCAGAATTCACATAACCTAAACCAGTTTTACAGAGAGTATGCTATCCTGACACAGTTCCTAAGACTTTACATAGCCTATGCCTGTTTTATAGAGACTATGATATGTTTACACAGTTTATCAGACTTCATATAACCTACACAAGATTTATGGAGAGAATGCTATCTTCACACAGTTCTTCACAATTCAAATAATCTACACAAGGTTTACAGAAAGTATGATATCCTGATGCAGACTTTATTTTTAAGACTAAAAGCACATCAGTCTTACAAAGAACTAAACACTCCTCACACAATCGTTAACTTTTATACTGTTAAAAAAAGATTCCATAAACCAGTTTATTTGGTTTCAAGTCTATTACAGTTTTTAAATAATTACTTAGAAGTTTTAATGTTGTTTCTTTGTTCTGTCTAGGGTCAAACTTTGCTTCAGCACTACCTAACAGAATGGCAAGAAGTTGTGAACACAAGGGAAAAACTGCCTAAATCAATTGAAAAAATGTTTTCTTCAGATATTGATGTTGAGGTGAGAATAGAAAGATTAAAAATATAAACTACAATAGAGAATAGTAAGATAAACAAATGAATTGCAAATAGAAGTAAAGTACTAAAGGTTTTAATCAAGTTGTTACCTTAATCAACTAATAAGAAACATTTAAAACACTACCATTGTGATTAGAGTTGTTGTCATTCCAATCACATGCTTAAATGATAAAATAAAACAGCTTAAGGCAACTTCTATTATGAAATTTTGAGACTTATTCATGTTGTTTATAGTTTTGTCCTGAGCTACACCAAGTATGATATCCTGATATGGTTCTTCAGTCTTCACATAACCTACATATGTTTTACAGAGAGGATGATATCCTGACACAGTTCTTTACACTTCACATAACCTTCATCTGTTTTAAAGAGAGTATGATATCCTGACACAGTTCTTCAGGCTTCACACAACCTACACCTGTTTTAAAGAGAGTATGATATCCTGACACAGTTCTTCAAGGCTTCACACAACCTAAACCTGTTTTAAAGAGAGTATGACATCCTGACACATTTCTTCAGGCTTCACATAACCTACACCTGTTTTAGAGAGAGTATGACATCCTGACACTTTTCTTCAGGCTTCACATAACCTAAACCTGTTTTAAAGAGAGTATGATATCCTGACACATTTCTTCAGGCTTCACATAACCTAAACCTGTTTTAAAGAGAGTATGATATCCTGACACATTTCTTCAGGCTTCACATAACCTAAACCTGTTTTAAAGAGAGTATGACATCTCGACACATTTCTTCAGGCTTCACACAAGCTACACCTGTTTTAAAGAGAGTATGATATCCTGACACAGTTCTTCAGGCCTCACACAAGCTACACCTGTTTTAAAGAGAGTATGATATCCTGACACAGTTCTTCATGCTTCACATAACCTACACCTGTTTTATAGAGATTATGATATCCTGACACAGTTCTTCAAGCTTCACATAACCTACATCTGTTTTATAGAGAGTACGATATCCTGACATAGTTCTTCAGGCTTCACACAATTTACATAAGCTTTACAGACAGGATGATATCCTGTTGTTACTATATTTCTTTTGGGGTCAAGGCATTCTTCAGCACTTAACCTGTTAAAAAAGATTCAATAAGTCTTGTTTTTTGTAATTTTGAGACCAATTCATGTTGTTCTTAGTCTTCTGAAATTTTGAGATATTATATACCGTAAATATGTAAGCACTATGTTTACAATTATACTTGTCATTGAAACATTAATATTAGGTCTATTACAGTTTTCAAACACTAAATTCTTTATTATTCTTGTATCAAATGGCTTATATAAATCTGTTCCGACCACTACTGTGTATGTTGTATCCAAGCTGGCTTCAAGAGCTCTAGATTAAATGAAACTCGTCATTGGCAATGGTTATGACAAATTTAGTGTTCTTGGAATACCCTTTAAATTCTTGGAAATCCCTAAGGAACTATATATAAAATGTAGTGTTTAATAATGTAATATGCCTGATATTAATAACTTACGACAAGTACGATTGTAATCATTCTTTGCCAGTTTGTAAAAGATGTACTCACCCTATATACTATGTCGTTTGTACTTGTTCTTCTTATGAAAATGTTTCATATTGTGTAGTTTGCACCTTATGTTAGTTATATATGTGGAAACCTTGTTGATAATATTTTCTTTCTTACACCCCCCCCCCCTGAGTTTAAATATTTCTCTCTCTTCTTTAATAGATTGGGAACGAGTATGCTTGTTCCAACATTTTGATCCGATTCCAAGCTGACCAGGAAGATCGAATGAGTTGTACATCTAGAACCAGTCGGTTGAGAAAAACTCGTAGCATTGATTCCAGCTGTTTAGATATACGGGAGTTGCATGATGATCCCTACCCCACTCCCCTCTCCCGCACTAAATCTGATGTCAATTTAACTTCATCCAGTGCCAGTTTACATAATAATGACTATGGTGAGCTGAACTAGTGATATTTATTTGAAACTTAATATTGTGTCATTTTATTTATTAGTACATTACTTTCAATAGAAAAATAACTAGGAATAAGATACTATTTTAGTGAATTATGATCTTCTAGCTGTCAATAACTTGAATTATTTAAACTAATCAAATAACTGTATGCTCTTTTAGTGATATAATTAATTTCAACAATGGTATCAGTATTGTTCTCCAGTCCATATTTTACTGTAATATTTCATTACAACAATGGTATCAGTATTGTTCTCCAGCCCATATTTTACTGTAATATTTCATTACAACAATAGTATCAATATTGTTCTCCAGTCCATATTTTACTGAAATATTTCATTACAACAATAGTATCAGTATTGTTCTCAAGTCCATATTTTACTGTAATATTTCATTATAACAATGGTATCAGTATTGTTCTTCAGTCTGTATTTTAGTAATCCTAAACTTACATTCATATATGAATGTGTATGTATCAGTATGTCATATTCAAATGATTTTAGGGTCTCATTAAGTCATTACAGTCCATGTTGCCAGGTCTGGTCATGTTCTATCTGATGACTCTTCATCTTGAAAATAGCCCTGCAGCATAGTTTCTATTGCAACAAGACTCCATTGTAAGGATATCATGTTTAAACCATGCCCATCCTCTCTGCTGGCTTTCCATAATCCATCAAGTGTATAAGGAAAATGGTTTTTGGTGCCTATTTCAACAGTCTGATCACATAGAAATACATAGATGCTACATCTAGTGAATTGACTGGTATGGCTTATTAGGAAATAGCAAGAATACTCTTGTCATTTTGCAGCTGCTTGAAGTATGTGGCAGTTGGATAGATATATCAAGAAAAACAACTTGTGTTGATTTTCCAGATGAAGATCCTTCTTGCTTACCCTCCATGCTGTTGCTTCAAATACATGGACAGCTTTTACCACTGACCATTGTGTATCACCTGTTACTAGATTCACACTTTTTTACTAGGGCTGGGGTATATCTTGTAGTAGATCTCTTTCTGAATATTTCTGTTGTCCCACCTTGATCAGTATTTCCTTCAGTCTCAAGGTTTTGGCTAGCTAGTGTATCTAAGACACATCCAGTATTTCCTTCAGTCTCAAGATTTTGGCTAGCTAGTGTATCTAAGACACATCCAGTATTTCCTTCAGTCTCAAGATTTTGGCTAGCTAGTGTATC